TGATAACAACCTGTCAAGATCAAATAAAACTTTTAGAAGTGGTGATTTTGAAGTCTGACCATACTACGAACAGACAACTGAGGTACTGAATAAATCATTTAAGGGCTGCATTTATTATGTACGGAGGTGTAATACAAGATATGCAGACAGGGTAGGGCATTTCCTAATGAACAGAAGATTGCAAACTTAGTTAACAAGCGCTTCAAGCAAATTAGACCTAAGTTTCATCTTCATAAAGCTTTTAAAAACTAAAGACGGTTCACACCACAAACAGCAGACACCATCTGTTTTTGTAACATCGCTAGTTTTTAGTTCCTATGAAAAATTTTCCCAAATTAAAATAATTTCTACATTAGCCAAAAGGCCTTCTTGTCAAAGTGTAACAAAAGTTCCTCTGTAATAGAGACTTTAAAAGACCGAATCAGAAATTAGAAAGTTGTTAAAATAATCCGTGCATTGAGTTCCAGCCTTTCATTTGACACAATACACACGGTATTTTCATATGTTGCATCTAAATGGCCTTAAAGCAGACAGGCAAGTATCCTTTCAGATAGATACGGTGCCACATTAAAGGTTGAAAGTATTGAGGATGGCTAGTGCAACCTATGTTTCCACCAAATCATCTTAATAGGCTGTGAACCCTGGAGCACATAGCATCTGAAGTTTTGCTTTCAAAATTGTTTGCACCAGTGAATGGCTTATGTATAATATTCACAGTAATTTTTAAAATACTACTTTCTGGCCTGATTTATACATTATCTTCGTACATCCAAATCCGTTCTCAAAAAAGTGCTCATTTCTGTATACATTAAGAAAGGTATTTAAAAAATAAATTCAAGGGTTATGAATGACGATGACTGAATATTGTAGCATAACAAATAAGCAAAGTAGCCTCTGCTTTGCTGACAAACTCTAATTGCAGAACACTCAAGTTAGGGTTGTAAAATTAACAAGCAAATTCAATGGCTTTTTAAATACTGATCGAATTCGCTTAATCAAATTAAATTAATTATAAATGCCAACAAGAAAATCTGCCGAAACGTCGTGTCTCTATGTTCTACCGTTTTCGCTCCAATCAATTTGTTGGAATTTGAACGAAAAGAATAAAATTTACGGCATAGCATTTTTTCAGTACAAGAGACTGCAGTCTTAGTAAACGATAAGTTCACTCAACACGGGTGAAAAGCCAGAGGCCAATCATACTGATCATAAGTGATACCGCTCATGTTTGTAATACCGTTAATCCTTAGTTCCTCTAAAAATGCTAAATAAATGTTCCCAATTAAATAAAAATGACTTTTTCTCAGATGTTTCTTAAAATTTCTGGTAAACGCCAGGTTTCGTACCTCATTTTTACTGTTCTTAGTGTAACAGATGGTTTGCAGAATTGCTTTTGCCCAGTAACTTGTGCTATGCAAAAGCTTCCTGGAGCTTCCTAAAAATTATCAATTCCTTCAAAATTTGTGACAGCATACTACCAATCTTCCACGCTCCAAGAAATACTTTTAAAATTTTTAGCTCGAATATAGATGGTAAAAAATGTTAGCAAGTAAATTCACGCTCTTAATACCTATATTACGAGCGCAGCTTAAGATCTCTCCTGCCTTTTGACCGCAACGAATCTGTCAACATTGTTCCACAAACGTCTTTTGCGGCTCAAGTAAGGATTTTTCAAATCTGCGCTATTTTTGAAATGTGGTAATCACTGTCGCTGATCAAGCATAAGTTCATTTATCATGACAAAGACTATATCTGGTGAAAGATCAATCCGTTTTTCAACCAAGGGGAAATTTTGTTTATTTCAGCACCTTCTGTAAGAAGTAAATAGATCTGCCACCATCTGAAGCGCCATAGAAACTAAAGGTATCTTTAATTAAATAAAATTAAAACTCTTCATTTTTGCTCTATATTTGAAAGTAGGCATTTCTACTTCAAAAACTAGAATCTGACTGTACGGTTCACTATGTGGTTTAACGAAAAACGCTGTACTGATTCATGACAAAAAATCCCTCGAGCAAAACGAATGGCCTGTAAGAGTCATAAGAAATTTTTTGAATCTTACTAGATAGATATCAGTAGACTAGCTGATAGTGCGAAAGGGTTAGATATCAACGGGTACCTTGTTTTTACAAGACTACTTTGATGCTTCCACACATCAATTAGAAGTGAAATCTCTTGTACGAGTGAAAAGGTTCTGCTAGAAAAAACTGTGACAAAACTGTTTACAAAGTAAGATCAAGAACCGTTTCCTATCGTCTCCAAGTAACTGTTTCAACTCTTCACAAATTAACGTCTTACTTTACAGCCGAAGTGATCTTCAAGTTACGGTTGAAGGCAAAGGGAATTTGGAGTATGATAAATTGCATACTACTCTACCTAAAATTTATGCCTTACGGCCTTTTCATTCTCTGATCAATTTTCCTGATATCAACTTAGAAGAACAAGAATCAAACAAAAATAATTTATGCCTTCAGGAAACAAGTGGTGTTCAGAATTTTAGAGCTTTAAACAATAACGACAATGAAACGTAGCATGAAAAACTAAGTTCATTCAAAATTTTCCCTAAGGTTACCCATTTTACACAGTCAGACTTCGAACTACACATAAAAAAGTTATCTGTTTTTATGTCATTCTTGAAGAGCTTTGAAGAAACAACAGTAAGCAAAGCTGCGAAGCGACATTACAGTGCTCACACATTGAACGAGTTCAATAATAGATCTAAAAATCTCTTTGCTTTTCAAAAGTTATCCAACGCCACAAGGGAGCTTTTGAAGAAAGTTCAATTACATAATCTCTACTTCATAAATCATTACCAAAAGTACCATTAAAAACACTGATTTCTTTAAAACTGTCAAATATTTTTCACCAGAAAAATTCTCAACATCAAACCATATCTTTCGTTACTAAAAAACTTGATCAGTAAAACAGCTCTCGGTTTAAAACATTTCCCAAGCAGTTATAGCGAACACTTTAATTTACTTTTAAAAAAACTGTAAACTGTACATTTGCATCAAAGTTTAGCAAAAAAAAAAATGGACGATACAAAATAGAATAAAAAGTGAAATTTAAAACAAGAAGTTGCTTGAACCAGTTAAAAAAAAACAGAATGTAAAGAAAAAAGGAATTTATAATGATGACATGGTAATCAGCTTTAGGGTTGGAGACTGAAATATCTTCCCAAAATCAGCAGCAAATACCTAGAGTAGAACTGAGAAGGCATAAAAGATAGGTCAGATGTGTCAGTGAGTGCTGAATGAGATTCAAACAGCTAAGTGTTTTTTTCTTTGTTTGTTTGTTTACATTGTCTGAACGATACGTTCTTCAGATCATTGGTATTCACTAATTGGCTGGTGATGATAATCAGAAGATGAAGTCTTTGTAGACCGATAAAAGTGCCACCATTCAAAGGCACCTTTCTGTTGGACGTCTGTAAACATTTAAGCTTTACTATCTTCAAATGGTCTTGCTGTATTCAGTAATTGTTTTCTGTAATGGGGTAGACTCCATGCGGCAGATATGCGTCATTTAAAAAAGCAACAAAAAAACGAGCACTGATTTGAAACTTTTCAAAGTTATATTGTCAAAATCATTGACAAGAAAAAAAACGTTGCATTTTGCTTTAAATTTGGAAAAACCATCCTGAAGATGTCTATAGTTGCTTACAAAGATTACTTTATTCAATAAGCAAAACTTTAAAAAGTTCTGATGTGAGCTAACTCTAACTTTGCGCCAACACGACAAAAGTGCTATACGATAAGGTAAACATTTAGAATTATGGAGCTGATGACATTTGGCAAATGTTTAGCAATGTTAAAATACTTCTCGCTGAATAACAGCTAACAGCGGGTACTTTGCAAAATGGCATAAACTTGGCTACTAACTGCAGTTGTTGTCGTTTGCTTTTCAGTAATTGGCGATAGAAATGAGATGTCTAACAGAAAGAAGCTGCTGTCGGAAGTTGCGAAAGTAATTTCCATTGATTTGCTCTAAAAAAACTGTTAAAGCTGCTCAGAAATTATTGTCTTCCCTTTTTTTCTGTTTAGTTAAAGACTGGTGGTGAGATAGCACTACTGCCTCTTTGTTTTACCGAAGCACAAATCTGACATTAAAAGCTTTCTTTTAATTTTTGATAATTTTGTTCAAGGATCAAAAAATTGTTTAATTGTCCAAAATTATTGTATTTTTTCATTCCATTAATACTTCTTAAATTGTTTATGAAAAAGATCTTAAAATTTCAGTAAGATATTTGACTGTTAAAAAATATTGCAGAAAATTTTGTTTTTACTTTTATAGTTCACTTTTTCCGCACCAAAAATATAAAAATGTTTTTAAGACTGTTAATACTCTGTTATACCTTATTAAATAGCGCTTAAAATTTAATCTTTCAAAAAGTACATCCAACCAAAAGTTTTTTAAACGGTAAGATAAATTTGTTGTAAACAGTCGTAAAAATGCGCAGTCCTACAATTGCTTGCTTAACCTATAAATTCTTTCAGTTAATTATCCATTTATTAGGTACATATTGCAGCGCAGAAGAGAGCATTTACACACAGTTAATAACTAACATAAAGAATTGAAAACAACACAACTGTCTCAAAAAGTTGTTAACAACAGACAGTGTTGCAGTCCTTAGTAGTTGAACCGGGGCTCATTTAATCGGTAATTATTTTTGGATAACAAACAACAACTGCGTCTGTTCTAGTTGCAGAAATAATCTTCATAAGTCATATGTTTCAACAGGTTGTTGGTGTTGTAATGCATTAAAACGATTGGCAGTCATTAGCCATAAAGATCAAATGTACAGAGATGCAAGAGAAAACAGTGGGGCAAAAACAATAAATTAATGAACAATAAAGTAGAAGTAAAAAAGATGGCAACAATTTTACTATTGCCATGTCCAAAAACGAAACATTTTTAATGTAAGTCTACAGCAATGATAACTGCCTATTTTCTAAGATTTATTTGCGGGTGATTTGTAGGATAATTTATACATAAGAGTTTCACTGTTGTCGATACCGCTGTTGTTCGACTTGAAGCAAAGGCAAAAGCGATCCACTGGAAGACCACAAACTATATACTTCTGCTGGTTCACTGGCTGTTAATGCTTCTTTGGTTAGCTTTTCATAACGTTTCCTCAACAAATAAGCAGCCATCTTTGGCTGCCTGGTCCGAGTAAGTACACCTTTATGGTTACCAAGAGGACGAGTTATATCTGCATTAAAATTTTGCCATATTTAACAAGTCTTTTAACACAGAAATTTTAGTAAAATAAGTAATAGAACAACTGTTATATTTCACTCTCAGTGCCATTAAACTGATTATTTTGTGCCAGATGTAAAACTGATTACCTAAGTTGTCACATAAAAATGTTACTCACCTTGACCTGTCATAAAATCAGCAAAATTCCAAATCATTTCACCAGCCAAGTAATGAACTTCCCTTAGAATATCAAATACTTGATGGCATGACTCTATAACTTCAAACTGGTACTGTTCACTGAAAGGTCGACTTGGTTCCTAGAATGTTGCTGTGTAAAACTGTTACTGCAGTATTTATTGATAAAACAACTATTGGGTTTCATTGTTTATATCAGAAGCTGAGAATTTTCATCAACTAGCCTGATTAAAGCCAGGTATTGCTTCAGCGCCGTATTCGGTTATTAGAATAGGTTTTCCAAATGTTCTTTTCCATCCGCTAATTTCATTTATCCAGTTTGTTTTAATTGCACTGAGATATCCAAGGTTATGATACCAACCGTAGTAACGATTGACGCATATAATATCAACAAACTGTGCCTTAATTATTGGACACAATTATATCAGTTGAGCATACTGCCTAATGTTAATACCACTGATATGAGTGTCGTTTCGTAAAAAATCCATGCAAAACAAATTTAAAATTTAAAAACGCTTTTTTTTTTGTGCTACTTTTTACTAAAATATTATAATTTTTTTCTTAAAAATACAACAACGTAGCTCTCTCCTTTCTTTTTACTGGTATTTTTTAGTGGTATGAATTTTAGACGGTAATAGACTGATTAGAAAAGACCAGTAGAAAATGACGAATAAAGTTGCAGACAAAATTAAGTGTTAAAAATGTAAAAAAAAAAGTTGCAAACTATTTAACAGTGCTGACTACATAAAAATTATTGCAAAAAATTGTTGTGGAATTGCCGACAAATTGTTCCAAACATTTCAAAGAACATTCAACTATAACCAGTTCGGTTACGACTTGTGCTAAGTATAAATATTTTAGTAGCAGACTAGATTAGTGTTACCAGCTATACCATTATTATCGCTTAGCTGTTTCAGCAGCGCATTACATGAAAAATGACATTAGTTGAAACAGTTTTGTAGAGCAAAATCTTCTAAAAACCTTACAGTTTTATCTCTGTCGTACAACGTTGAATAAACAGTAGTTATTGGCCGAGAAGCGTCTAATGATTTGGCAACATTTACCAGTGATCTAAACAACACAGGAATTCTATAGTGCAACAAATAACCATAAAAGTTTATTTGTAAATAAATTGTCAAAAATATGCAAATCAACACCTTTAAAATCAGTTTTT